GAAAGACTTTTCTTAAAACAAATGTTGCAGCTTAATCAAAAAAATCATAGGAAAAAGCTTTGCAAGATTATGGTACCAAAAAAAGAACTACTGTCAAAAACATTAATAAAATAAACAATGACATCATAAATAATCATGAATTTATCTGCAAAGTTTACTACCAATAAACAAATCTTGGTTAGTAAATTTTATGGTTTTTATCAAAAGCATAAAGCATTTTTTTCTGGCAAGAAACTGGAAATGTTATTCTGAAATCTACTAATCTCAAAAGATGTGCCAAAAATCACTTATAGTTTCAAGATGCTTCTGAAGTCATACCTTTTTTAATTCTCTCTTCCGGGCTTCCTTTCCTTAAAAGGGAAAGAGGGAGAGAAGATACAATTTTTAAATCTTGTTGAGAAAAGCTCGCTAATCATGGCAACCCCAAATTTCAGGACATTAAGTTTCTTAGAAAACAATTATGAATCTTAACAAAAAGTTACCATAAATACTAAATAAGAGCTGGTAAAACCTAATTGGTTCAAAACTCCGAATACACAAAGTCTTAAGCCAATTCTACTTTGTCAAGTCAATATGGATAGAAATTTATTGGCAAATTTAAAGTTTTAATCATGTGCCCACAAGAACTAGATGATTTCATACAATTTCCTCCTCCTATCACTCATCTTATAATTAAGTCACAATGAAACAGGTTCCTTATTAACTGCAATTTTTAATATCCTCTACTTCATTCCACACTGATAGACACTTACGGGCTTGGTCTGTAGGGTTCATAAATTTTCCACTCTTGGTGGATGATGTTGATCTCCGTCCCATGTTGACAATATGTATGGTTCACTTATTCATTTAAAAAAAAAAATAAACAAACCTGTAAAGACAAAGAAATAGATTACTTTTCCTATATTGATAACATTTCTTCCTTTTTAGTGTTCCTATCTCTGGAAAGAAACTTCCCTTTGATCATGAATTTTGTGAGACTGTGATCTTTTCTTAGTTTTGACTTTAGTACCCAAGAAAGATGGCCTCAACTTTCTTGACCACAAAAAAATTACATCTCTATTATTCTTTAGAAAGATAACAAGTCTGAAGATTACTTTATCATTAACTCATTAACATTTTCTGTATAAATAACAACACTGTCAATTGAAAAAAAATCAACTAGAAATGTGCTAACAACATGACACAAATCACAAACAAAAGCTGTCACATTCCTCCTTTATTTACATGTAGGGTAAAAGAATAAAAAGGAAAAATGGGGGCAATGAATCTGGGCTTAAAGACAGTATCTTCCCCTTGCCCCTCTCCACATTTTTTCTTGACATATGTGCTATATATTTCCTGAGACATAAAAACTCATTAATTTAGGCCCATTCACTTTAGATTTAATTCTAATCTGAATAGAACTGACTCTCGTAAAAGCTTAAAATATAACCAAAAATGTAAATATCCAAAATCAATATTCTATTATATTAACAGAAATCCCAAAGACTTCTCCGCTGAGATATATGTTTCTTACTGGAATCTACTTGACTCCGGATTTATATTTTTTAAGGTAATTAAAAGTAATAACTGTGTTTAAGGAAAATATTTTTAAAAATTAAAACTTTTTTTTTTTTGTACCGGGGATTAACTCAGGGACCTTCAACACTGAGCCACATCTCCAGCTCTATTGTGTATTTTATTTAGAGACAGGATCTGAGTTGCTTAGCACCTCGAGGTTGCTGAGGCTCCTTTTGAACTCACTATCTTCCTGTCTCAGCCTCCTGAGCCGCTGGGATTACAGGGGTGCGCCACTGTGCCTGGCTAAATTAAAACTTTTATTAACATCATTTTTTTCTCTTTTAACCCCCCCCCCCCCCAAATGAAGTTTTACTTTGGGAAACTTAGTCTTTCCAAAAATAAAGACTGACAAATTAGCTTTCTTTTTGAAAGTAGACACTTTTTAAAGAGTGGGAAAGGGAAGATCAAAGAGCAAATTTGGGGGCAGATCATAGGATTGATTACCTTCCCTTTGCCCCCTTAAGATTTTGTCAGACCAGTCAATGCGTTTCACCAAGTGTTCAACTGCTCCTATTTCTGCTGGATGTTTCACAGTTGTTCCAGAGGCAATTATTTTACCATATTAAGTGTCCCCTTCTCAGAAAAACTGGGGGCCTGGGGAAGGGGCGGGAGAATATAAAATGGATAATGGGGGAACCAGCACAATGGTACAAGTTCTTATATCTTCGAGTACCTTTATCTGTTGTGTTTTCCTTTCTCATTTAAACCTCAGGCCCATATTTTGACCCTCTTCTCCCACAACTGGAACACAGGGCAGATATGAATTACAGAATTTTTACAGAAAATCGTGGAGCCCCAGTCTACACAACTTTTCTGCCTAAAAGCTAAAAGTGGAGGCGATTGAGAAATCAGGCCGAAAAGCCGTGGGGAATTATAAAAAAGTCAAAGAGGCTTCAAGGGACGGGGCCCAGGTCCATCAAAGGAGGCAATAGCAGCAACTGCCGAAACCATAGCGACGGTTGATACTGGACTCGAGGTACAAGACGTCAACCTGAGGCAACCGCTCAACGTGCTTAGGAAGCGGCAATAACCCACCTGGCGAAGTAACCACGTAGCCGCTGGATGCTACCCGACGCCAGGCCCAGGAATCCTCCAGTCTGCTGCTCGGGAGATCCCAACTGGGAAGAGGAAGGGCCGGGTAAAGGGGCCTGGTGTCCCCAAGGCAACCGCGCGGGCCCCAGGAAGGGACCGGAGAGATGAAGAAGCGGAGTAAAGCAATCCCATGTACTCACAGCACTGCTGGGCTCCCAGGACTGCGAGAAGCGGGGAGGGGGCGATTCCGGGCCCCTTTCACTTCGTAGGGGCCTTCACCTCTGCCTCTCGGTCAACCACCTAACCACCGCCATCTTGAAACCTCGCGCCCCACCGCCATCCTTACGTCACTTCCTATCCCTCAGGTCGATGATCTCTTAGCGATGTTCTGTAGTGGAACCATAGATAGCGCTCAAGAACTACAGGACTAGAGGCTTTTCCGCTACAAAAGAGTGCCCCATTGGCTAGTTATAGGCTAAGAGCCCTCCCACGTCGATTGACACTTTATAGTCCAATAGGAATAAGTAAAAGAAAGTCCATATCTGATTGGCTGTTTATTTTGCCTCTCGGGCCGGGGGCGTTCTGACTAAATTACCGCGAGCTCTGTCTGTTGAGCCGCGCGATTGCGGTGCATTTGGAAAACGGAGGTGTTTTGGCCTGTTTCTATCCCCGGGATTGTGTTAATTGTTGGATTTTCGTATTTCTTATAAAGTAAACGGGCGCAATCTTTTGTGAGTGTCGCCATTTGAAAACGAGTTGAATAACTCTTGCCAGTGAATTTAATGTGCTTTGTAAGCATCTGGTTATTCTATGTGGGCGCCTGGGGCTTCTGGGATTCACTACTCTATCAATACAGAGAACGTTCGTTTATTTGTTCGCCTCAACAAATAAATCTATGCCCGTATTAGCTGCTCAAATTGATAACCTACAAGATCGAGAAAATGTGGGGATACACGTGCAGTTAGTTTTAAATTTACGAGTGGCGAAGTGCACATGTAGGGATACAGCTGTAATTTTAAATTTACAGGTGACGAGATTGGTACGTATCGGCTCCCTTCCGAACTCATCTTTTCACCAGCTGAAAGCCCTTTATGAAGTCACTAACTCAGAATTACTTACGTCTAGACTTCCCCCTTCCCCTCTATACCTTTTTACTTCAGACTCCTTTCCATCTGTTCTCCATAAAGGTAGGTTAAGGGAAATTCTGCTGTTAAGAAACATGCTTGGTTATTTGTGATCTTAATCCAAGTCCATTAACAGAAAACAGATATAAGCAAATTCTTATTATAATTATTTCAAAACATTGATGGAGACCTATTAATTTTTGACAGAAAATTCAAATGTGCTCTTAACATAGAAACTATCCCAACCTTTATTTTAGGTAATTCTTAATTTGGTTTTAGACTGAATTTGAGTCTTAAATCAATAACAAGAGCTTTTAAGTCAAAGTTTATAGAGTGGTAAAAAGGAAAATAAGATTACATTTGGAGGCCAGGCGCGGTGGCGGTGGCGGTGGCTCACGCCTGTAATCCCATCCGCTCGGAGGTGGAGGCAGGAGGATCAGGAGTTTAAAGCCAGCCTCAGCAATTTAGTGAGGTGCCAAGCAACTCAGCGAGACTCTGTCTCTAATAAAATGCAAAATAGGGCTAGGGGTGTGGCTCAGTGGTGGAGTGTCCCTGAGTTCAATCCCTAGTACCACCTACCCCCGCCCCCCCAAAAAAGATTTCATTTGGAGATGAACTAAATTGTGATATTTTGCAGCTAATTTATAAAAAAGTCATAATAGAAGAGAAAGAAAATGGAGTACAGTTTCAAGATTAATCTTTCACGTAGCTAATTAACATTTTTTGAGAAGACTTCTTTATTTCAAGACTTTTTTTGTAGTCGAATGTAAGAATCAACAGTGTTACAATTTTGGAAGTAGACTTTAAAAGAGTCTTTATAGAAATTATTAGTTAATAAAGGATTTAGAGAACATTTGTATTTACAGAAATTCACCTGACCCAGTAGGCCTCCATTGCCTCTGGATTTTTGTAAAATCAAGTAATTAGTTAAATGGGCCACCTAATGTTTCAGGTAGCAGAGGCAACTGCTTGCTTTCTGCTAGTATTGAAAGCAAAGTTATTTTTTTCAGAAAACTCATAATAAATAGTCTTTTTTTTTTGATAACAAATATTTAAAGAGTAGTGAGTTCCTTTTCTGCATTCCAAGCACATTTTATGCATATATAGCTGGGGTGATATATATATATATATATATATATATATATATATATATATATATATATAGTAATTATATATATAATATATATAGTAATTATATATTATATATATTATAATTATATATATATAGTAATTATATATTATATATATTATAATTATATATATATAATTATAATTATACCTGAATTACACTTTGTCATCATAGTCATCATAGTTGGTCAGCATGGATTACAATTATAGAAACAGAACTTTTTTCATTTTTTTAATCCACCCAGATTACATTGTGTAATTAGTAGAAGTTCACAGATACATTGTCTCATCATTGAAACCAATTGTTACAAACCATTTATTTTTTATTTTTTGTGGTACTAGGGATTTAACCCAGGGCCTTATGCATACAGGGCAAGCACTCACCAACTGAGCTATAACCTCTGCCCATTATAATCCATTTTCAGTCTTTTCCTGTCTATAGAAAACTGGACTAAATCTAATGGTTAAAAAATATGGTAGCATTTCTATTTTATTTTATTTGGTTTGTATCTAGCCAGAAGTTCCTTAATATGCTTCCTTAGTATTAAGTGATGTTTGAAGCTAGTGGTAGACATGAAAGTGTCTGCATTCAATGTAAATGTTAAGGATTTTGACTGGAAAGTAAAAAAAAGAAAAAAGCAATTCTTACACCTGCTGCTCTGTGATAGCATTTACTCCTATGTAGATCTGGTAGAGTAGGGTGAGAAAACATCCTGGGACATACATCTTTTACCTCACAGGTTCTAGCACCAGCTGATCCAGTCATTCATTATTTGTCAAAACTCAAGATTAATCTAGTTTTAACATCTCCAGTTTCCCTTTCTGAACTCTTTATCCCATTTATATCCATATTGGAAACATGGAAAATCAAAGAAGGAAATGCTGTTATTAAGAGGGAAGCAGAAAAATATTCCAGTGGCAAACCAAAAGGTTATTCATTTCATTTGGTGTTTGACAATATCTGTGACCTCAGTAATGGCATGATGATATTTTTCTGAGGCTGACTTGAATTCCACCAGATGCTTCTCATAACTTTTGATGGCTGCTTGAAGCTGTGTTTTCTCCACTGCTCCCAGGATGGCCCGGAAGATCATATCTATGCCAAGGCCAAGAACAGCAATTCCAATACTACCAAGGAGAGAAGCACCGATTTGAGCTAACACAGTGACCAACTTGTTAATTATGCCAGTTGTGACATTTGAGCCCACGAGTTTAACAGCCACTGCACTGGCTGCAGATGTAGCTTCTCCTAGAATGACTGAAATAACCTTTTGTACGATTGCAATCTTCTCTGTTTCCCTTTCCTTAATATCCTGAAGTTTTCTATACAAGGTTGGTTCTAGTTTTTCTTTTAGTGCTTCATCAACCTTTTGCAGTTCATTTTGGATATTCATTATGGCTTGGATGATGATGTCACAATTTTCTTTGATAGTCCCATCTCTCTTCATTTCGGTGGAGGCCAGTGTGCAGCCCAAGTGTGTATTTAGAACCCCTATCAGCTTATTGGTGGCATGGAAGCTGTCAGATAAGCAGTCAAGGAGCTGCTGGTGAAGCCGGTTTACTTCCTGCCTCCTCCTTGGGTTCTCTGGATAGAGGAAGTCACTGTGAGCCATGTTTCAAGTATGATCTCTGAAAAAATAAAATAACATATCTTCACTAAAGGTCTTGAAAAATATCTGCTGTGTGAATCTGATCAGGAAATCTTACTTCATGCATAACCAAGTATCAATATACTACCTCAAGAATCCCTCAGAAAACCCAATAGAGTTTTTAAAGCAATTTTTATGAAACTTGGAGTCAGTGTATGGAAAATATGGCAGCAGAATATAGCCCATTAATACTTAGATTAAGGCATTAGGTTTTGTGGTGTTGGGAGTATTCTCTAGATAGAGAATATTCATGTTTATAAAGCATCTGATATTAATAAACAAACATGATTTTTCCAGGTAATATTTAAGAACTTCTATTTGAAACAGAATCCAACTCAGAATGGTTAGCTCTTGATATTAGGGCTTCTTAATTTCCCACTCCTTTAGCATCTACAATGAATGTATCTTCCATGTTGATTTTTTTCTAATATTTAAGGTTAAATTACTAGGGCAGAAGAGCATTAAGATCTCTGTTTAGAGGGCTACTGATATGATTTTTGTGTTTCTATGTTTGGTTATCTTCATTTAAAATATTCAAATCTCTATATCTCTTTATAGGCAATTTATTTATTTTCTAAACCTGGGGTATTAGAGGCATCTCACATATAAAATTATAATCTTTTAAAAGAATTCCTCATAAGATTATAACCCAAGGCTTTGGCTTAAAATTTAATTTGGGGAGACGATGGGCACCATGCAGAGGACAGTGTAGTTATGAGAATCTGTTTGCAAAACTTATAGATTAAATCATTTAAGTGGTTCATATTGTACTTGGCTATCAGTAAGATTAGCTAGAGTTAATGTTAGAAGATAATGCCTTCTTACAAAAGTATTAAAGTAATACAATTACACTATACAAAATATAAACCAAATAGGAGACTTCTTGTGTTTGTACTTAACAGTACCATTTAGAGAAAAAAGGAAAATGCATACTCCTCTGAGATTATTTGGGTGAGAAATCTACCTTCCTATGTACTTGGCACTTTTTTTTCTTTTTCATTTTTAATTCAGGAGAAATCAAAGAAAAAGCAGCCCTTTATTCTCTGTATAGGATCATTGATACATTCTTTCTTTGAGCAAACATCTGCTTAATTTGGGTCTTATCTATGTATTCCAGCAACTTGGTTCTTAATGTGGACATGGGAACCCTAGAAGTGTGAGATGAAGGAATGAAGATTTTTTTTTCCTCTAGAGAAAGTAAATATGAAAATAATCAAATTTTCAAGTCATGAGGATATAATTTGAAAATTTAAAGGAGGAACATTTTAAAAAACTAGGAATATAAAATAGCCATTTATATGTAAGATTTGGAAAATCTTTAGGAGCTCCCTGGTAGAATGGTGATAAATGATAAATTCACTTTTATCTAGATATTCTCTCTCTCCCTCTTTTACACACACATGTGAGTTAGACACGAATTTCTGCTAAATAACATCTGTAAAATTTCCTAATTCATTTCCATTTTGTTGGCTGAGGACCTATTAAATATTACCCAAACTTATAAATGGGTTGCAAATTGCAATTCCATAAACACAAATTTGGACTTTGATTTCTCCTTTTTTTCCCTATGAATTTTCCATGAACTTTTTTTAAGCTCTTGATTTTCAGATCTTATGGCAGAAAATTCTAGTTTCCAACTTTGAATTCAGAAGATTACCCTGCATCCCTATTCAGATATTTAGGCGAGAGGGTCTTACTATTCTGAAAAAGTGGAAAATATCTCTAGCAGCTACCATATGCCATCAATATGAACACAGATCTTCTAGAAAAGGTGTGTGCATCTGTCTACCTCAAGATAAATGGAGATGGGAATTGAAGTACTGAAAATATTGAATTATAGTTTGGACAGGTGAAATTAGAAGGGCCTGGCAATTTATTTATAAGCAATTTATTCCTTTTTTATTTTGAGATATGGGGGTCTTACTATGTTGTCCAGGCTGGCCTCCAACTCCAGGCTAAAATGATCCTCCTGCATCACACTCCCCTGTAGCTGTGATTACAGGTGTGTGATTACAGGTGTGTGCTAACACACGCTGCACAATTTATCAATTCAGTAACAATTGGTAAGTTAAAATTATAGGAGGCCATTGTTTTGGAATAAGCTCTTGCATTAGGCTCCAACAATAAGACTAAAAAGCAGAGAGTAGTGTAAAGTAGTATGCTACATTGCTGGTGGGACTGCAAATTGGTGAATTCACTCTGGAAAGCAGTGTGGAGATTCCTCAGAAAACTTGGAGTGGAACCAACATTTGACCCAGTTATCCCACTCCTTGGCATGTACCGAAAGGACTTAAAATCAGAATACTACAGTAATACAACCACATCAATGTTTATAGAAGTTCAATTCACCTAGGTGCCTTTTAACAGATGAATGGATAGAAAAAATGTAGTTCATACTCATAATGTGGTTCATATTCATAATGGAATATTACTCAGTCATAAGAAGAATAAAATTATGGCATTTGCCTGTAAATAGATGGAACTAGAGACTATTATGCTAAGTGAAATATGCCAATCCCCCCCAAAACCCCAAAGCCAAATGTTCTCTCTGATATACAGATAATAACTAACAATAATCGGGGTTTGGGGATGGAGGGAAATAGAAGTTCACTGGATTAGACAAAGGGGAATAAGGAGAAAGGGAGGGGGATTGGGAATACGAAAGACAGAATGAATCAGATATAACTTTCCCGTGTTCATATATGAATACATAACCAGTGTAATTTCACATCATGTACAACCACAAAAATGAGAAGTTATTTATACTCCATGTATGTATGATGTGTCAAAATACATTGTACTGTCATGTATAATTAAAAAGAAGAAATAAAAATTAAAAAATAAAAAGGACAAAAGAAAAAAGGTAGTATGCTAGGCTCCATAAAGCAAAAGAAGAAGAAAATCTTTGCTGTCTTAGAATTTCTAATTATGTTAGGAAGTTAAGATAGATTTATGACTACGGTTGAAAGTAAGGTGTCATAGAAAATTATAGATGGTATTTGACTTGTGCAAATTTAAAATTTCAAACAACCTGCTCTTTAATGTATCTTGACTCATTGATTAGAGACCTTTGGTCATCCAGGGAAGGTTAACAGTTTGTACTCTTTCAAATTGATAAATATGTGCTTGATAATTAAGAGAGGTTAGACACCACATGGAGAACCATAGTTGGCAATGGGAAGTGAGTGTCTTCATTATTGTCTTTAAAAATTTAGTTCTAGGGGTTTGGGATTGTGGCTCAGCGGTAGAGCGCTCGCTGTAGAGCATGTGCTCGAGGCCCTGGGTTCTGTATTCAGCACCACATAAAAATAAAATAAAGATATTGTGTCCAACTACAACTAAAAAATAAATATTTAAAAAAAATTTAGTTCTAAATCCCAGATTGATTATTCCACTCAGCAAAAGAAAAGCCCTGAAATTAATTGAAGTCACTCTTCTTAAAGATCATATTGTTACTCAGGTAAGCTTCAACTGATGTCTTGTAGACGATGTATAATCCTGTCCCTGAGAGGAGATCTGGCTCATGTACTTGCCCCCCACCTTGTTTGATTTTCAATCATAACCTGGTGGCTTTTGAAGTTATAGGCATTATCAGGTAGCTCATGGTATATTTAACCCAGCCGTGATTAACTACACTTTTGTATAGCAAATTTTAACTTTTATATAATTTGAGTTCTCATATGATGGTGCTTTCTGTCAGTGAAAAAAATTCTGTTTGGGGAGTTACCATCACTTCTGCACAGAGTTTATACTGATATTTTACCTAAGCCCTCCATGAAATACGTTCTCTAGTGCCTAGGAGCAGCGGGCTGAGGAATGGCTGACCAGCAGGTGGCGCTCTTGTTTTGGGCGATTCTTATTTTACCTGAGTCTCTTCTAAAGCAATTGCGTTTTCTCTAGCTCTCTACGTTTGGGTCCTGGGTGGGTAAATTTTATCTAATAAGAGAATTCTGTTGCTAAAACAAAGTTTTGACTTCTCATTTCATAAAAATTATAGGGAAACAAGTACCATAGTGCTGAAACCTGTGATCAGCGTGCCTTAGGAAATTAAAATGGAAACAAAGATTAGCTTGAAATGGATGCTAATTGGATTTAGCCTTGTCAATTTTCTTTTTAATTGAGAAGTAAACATTCAAGATTAAAAAACATATAAGACTTAGCAGAAGTATATTGGTGATTGTGTATACAAATAAGGTTGACTTAGTGATAGTAGATAGTTGATTTAATTTTCAAGAAAGGAACCACATTATAAGATGAAAATGATTGTCATATTTTCGAATAAAACTTTTTAGGATACTTTTGTGGATATAACAGTGGTGCTTTTTGAGGTTTTACGGTTCTCCAGGCTGTCACCATTCTTCACTGTGTCCTGCTACCATGGAAGTTTAGATTACTTGGGAATTTGGAAATAGGGTATAAACACAGAAGGCTTACAGAAGAAAATAACAGCTAATATCTAGTTCTGAGGTTTATTTAATTCAAACTAAAACCATGGCCTCTAATTTAAAACAAAAATTAATCATGATGTATGGTATATTTTCTGATGTAAATTCTTTTAAAGAATATTTCTGACCAGGAAGCAATAATATTCCTAACCAGAAAGCAAATGTCAGGGTTACTCATCAGTTTACCAAATGTTTGTTTGTGAAGTCTTTACTACGTGTCTTGAAGATATTCCTTACCCTCAAGAAGAGGAACACAGAAAATGTCCAGTATATGGTTTAAACATATGGTTTAATTTAGAGAGTAATAAAATATGGTTTAATTTAGAGAGTAATAAAATCTCTATACATTAACTAGTCTGAGTCCCCATTCATTCTTTCACAGACACCAAGTGCCACTATTAACGTTAAGACAGAAGAAAATGTCCCTATCCATGTAAGCAACACACACGCACACAAGTGTCCTTTCATTCTTTATCCTTTCTGAAATTGATATCATTACTCGTCTTCTTCTGTGACTTAGTCTTAGAAGTTGTTAATTTTCTTCCTTCCTTGGTATGTTTGGACAAAATCACATGTGCGCACACACGTGCGCATAAGCACACACACACACACACACACACTATGCCATGGGATCTTCTTATAACAGTTCTTACTTTGTTTATGGCTAGGATTCAAAATTAATCATTATTACAAAATCCCTGTAATACTGATGATCCAAGTATCATATCAGTACTGAGAGAAATGTCCAGATTATTTACCTTGCTGTGTTCCTGAGCCTGTAGTCCCAGCAGTTAGTTGTTGGGGAATGTTGTTGTAGGGCTTTTCCATCTGGTTTCATCTGGATGCTTCTGGTGGAATGTGATGACTTATAGGCTTTTCTAGTCCCTGCTGGGTCCCTCTGCCTGTCTGGTTTATAGGCTGCATCTGTAGGGCTTATCTCAGAATTCTTCTATTTCCTATGTTAATATAAACAGTACATATCAAATAATGTAATTTGAAAGATCAATAAAGTGGTAAACTTAATAAGTTTTCTATTCTCTCATGAACTTTCTAGTATTGAAAGGTGCTGCACAACTGAACTATTTCAATTCATTAGAGAAGATGGCCTTTTGGTTTCAGCTGAGATTTTAGGATTTCATCTTGTCAGTTATTTTAGATATTAAATTTCTTTTATCTTCTGTTGCATTTGTACCTTTGTCTGTTGCTGATTGCTTTGTTTAGGCTCTCAAGAGTTATAAATTCAGATATAGCCTACTGTATTTTTTTTTTAGAAAATTTGATCATCTTTTAATTTAGTTCTGCCATTTATTGCTTTTTCTTATTGTAATGAATTATCTTGTCAACATAGAACCTTAAAGACCAACTTGATTCTTTTCCCTTAAAAGCATAGATCAGAGACTTTCATGCTTCTTCCTCTGGATTTAGTCCAAATTTTCATTGATTCTTTAATAGCAAAGATATCTCAGAAACGGGGCAGTCACCCAGTGCAAGTATAACTTAGTGGAAAGCCCACAGGCTTTAGAATCAGTTGGTTTTGTGTACCTAAAGTACCATTTACTAGCTTGTAACCCTGGGAAACATTTCTAAATTTTTTCATTGGTGTAATGTGTGTTTATAATTTATGGATTTTCATAAAGATTAAATAAGATAATGCATATAAAGCACTTAGCATAGTGGTTTAATATGTGACAAAACTTACTAAATAGTAGCTTTTCTTATATCAACAGAAGTATTCCTTGTTGGGGGGATGTTGGGTAGAGGACACAGAATGAATATTTCAGACAAGAGACTTATGAGATGTAAAGGTGCTGCTCTGTGGTCCTAAAGAGGAGTGAGCTGTGTGTTTTTTACTTTTGTCCCAGTGGGTCAATTTGTCTTTGATGTATCCTAGGTCCTCACTGTGTAGGGGCCTGGGAGAAGAAGGAATATGTATGTGTGGCCAGTGTATTTGAACTGGGTATAGATGAAAAGTAGGGTTTCTTAAGGCTTGGGGTATGGGATATGGAGGAGATAATGAAGGAGCACAAAGGAGCTGAACCAAAATGTATAGAATATTTTTCAGGGAACAAAATGAATCCACTATGCTGGTGGCACAGGGTATTACAGCAGTTGAGGGAAGGTGAGTAGTGGACAATTGAGAGCACTTTGTAGGTGGACTTAAATGCTAGCAAAGAAATTGTATTTTATTCTCTAGACAATATTGAACTATCAATGTTTTTTTTTATCATGAGATAATATGTGGCAATTTGGATTTCAAGAAGTTCACTTTCCTTTTTTCTTTAATTGCATTTTATTTGTGCATTTAAATTATACATAATAATGGAATTTGTTGTTATATATTTGTATATAGACAAAATAAAGTCAATCTATATAAACTAGATTAGTAGGTATGGAAACTAAAGCCTTGTTCACCAACTCAGTCCCTATAGTAGCTGGACAAGGTATGTCTGTCATTTGCCCTATCTAAAACAGTTGTGTTTTGTTATGGAAGGGAATATTGTTGAGGAATAATGTTCAATGCGATCGTACCTAAGGTGTTAGGTTTTCCATTCTTTCTTTACATTCCATTTCCATTCTTCATAATGTTAACTTCCTACTCAGACACCCTTCCTGCACCACATAGAGGTCAAACCAGAGCTGCCATAATTGAGGTATGAACAATAATAATGCAAAAATGTTAGGCACACTTTACTAGTCTCCTTTTCAGAATTTCAGAGGAAACACTAGAAGCAAATATTGACTTTATACTGAGCCCCCTATATAACCAACTCAACCTTCTTTTATTTTTTGTTGGGGGAGGGTACTGGGAATTGAAACCAGGGTACTTAACCATGAGCTACATTCACAGTCCTTTTTAATTTTTATTTTGAGACAAGGTCTTGCTGGCCTTGAACTAGTGATACTCCTGCATCAACCTCCAAGTTGCTGGGATTACAGGCGTGTGGCACTGCACCCAGCAGAACTTGAACTTTTTATATCCTTCCTGACTAAAGTTAGTATTGACATCAAATCAATAGTCAGAACTGAACCTTAAGCAGGAGGCAACTTTTCCTAGTGCAGGCAATGGTGTCAGGGCGATGCCAGGGAATCAGGAAGGCTGATTGGACAAGTTTGCTTAGGTTGAGGATAGTGGTTAATGAGTAGAATTGATCAATGCTATCCAAATGTATCTGCATATAGCTTCTCTTTTGATAATTTCTCTAAGAATGTTTTCCTTTCCTCCTTATTCTGAAGCTCACTCCCTTTTCCTGAAAAATTCTACTGGACACCTATCAATTACATGACTCCATCCCTGAATAATCTTCCTGGTTCAGTTAACTAAACACTTTAAAAATGGTTTCAAAACTCAGCTTTTATGAATATCACATTAAAAAATCAAACAAACCTGAAAATCATCACCTTTTGACCCTATATCTTCTTTTATGTCACCTCATTGAGACTTTCCAATTTGGCAGTTTCCCTGTATTATCTCTACTTCATTTTCTCCATTAATTTTTAAGTATTTATAATCTGGCTTCTACACTTATCCCCACTGCTTACAACATTGCTCCCTTGCTTCACCAATGGCATTGTAGTGCCTATTGTAATAGAATATATAATATACAATGTTTGTCTTACTTATAGCATTTGAAATTATTAGCTACTCCTTCCTATTGACTTTCTTCTCTTAGGGTTATATGGTTCTCTTTTTTCAAACATTCCTTCAATTTCTATATGGAGTCTCATCATTCATATATTACTAAATATTGGTGTTTGAGTTTTTATGTTTAGCTCCCTTTTCACTCTGTACGTTTTCCCTGGGTGCTTTCGTTCAATCTCATGATTCTATCATTGCTGGTTTGTGGCTGTACTCCAAATATATTTTTGCTAGTCAATAATTTTTCCTGACCGCTAAGCACATATCTCTAACCAGCCATCTGGACAGCTCCATGTGGATGGCTTATCCTCTCTCAAAAAGTCATGATAAAATGTATTTCACTGTCCAGAGCTACCAATGCACTCTTCCATTAGGTTTTAATTTTTCTAAACCAATTTTCACAGATAAATTTTAAGAACTATTACAGGGATTTCTTGTAATTTTGCCAGACTCATCTGGAAAATCTACAACATAATGCCCAGAATATTAATGTTGATGTAATTCACCAATCTATAGAGATTTTCCCAGGTTAATAGGTACTCATTTGTGTGTGTGTCGTTACATATAATTTTGTCATTGTGTATGTTTATGCTTCCACAACTACTGTCAAGTAATTTTTCTATCTAATGCCTAGAGGGTCTCTGGATAAAAGTCTTCTGTCAGAAGTGTTAATTTTTTTTTTTTTTTTTTGCATTGAACTCAGGGGCACTCTACCACTGAGCTATATCCTAAGATGTTTTATTTTTTATTTTGAGATAGCTCTCAGGCTGGTTTCAAACTTACCATCCTCCTGCCTTGCTTTCTGAGTAGCTGAGATTATAGGCATGCACCACCACATCTGGCTGTTTAGAGCATCTTTACAGAACAGAATAGCAGTTTTTTTTTTTTAAATTTTTTTTATTGGTTGTTCAAAACATTATAAAGCTCTTGACATATCATATTTCATACATTAGATTCAAGTTGGTTATGAACTCCCAATTTTACCCCAAATACAGATTGCAGAATCACATCGGTTACACATCCACATTTTTACATAATGCCCTATTAGTAACTGTTGTATTCTGCTACCTTTCCTATCCTCTACCATCCCCCCTCCCTCCCCTCCCATCTTCTCTCTCTACCCCATCCACTGTAATTCATATCTCTCCTTGTTTATTTTCCCATTCCCCTCACAACCTCTTATATGTAATTTTGTATAACAATGAGGGTCTCCCTCCATTACCATGCAATTTCCCTTTTCTCTCCCTTTCCATCCCACCTCATGTATCTGTTTAATGTTAATCTTTTCTTCCTGCTCTTCCTCCCTGCTCTGTTCTTAGTTGCTCTCATTATATCAAAGAAGACATTTGGTATTTGTTTTTTAGGGATTGGCTAGCTTCACTAAGCATAATCTGCTCTAGTGCCATCCATTTCCCTGCAAATTCAGAATAGCAGTGTTTTAATTCTGTGAAATTCAGCTTACCATTTTTTTTTAAATGGATGAGCTTTTGGTATCACATCAAAGAACTAATTGGCTAACTAAGGGTTACAAGATTTTCTCCTGTATTTTCTTCTTTGAATTTTAGGGTTTTAGTTTTATATTGATATCTATGTTCCATTTTGAATTAATTTTTCTATATGGTATGAAGTGTACGGGCCAGGTTCATATTTACTCATATGGATGTTCTGTTGTTCCAGCACCATTTGTTGAAAAACACCTAACTTACTTTATTGAATTACCTTTGTATCTTTGTTAAAAATCAATTGACCACATTTGTGTGTCTATTTATGAACTTTTTGTTCTGTTTTGTTGGTCTACATGTCACTAATATCACACTGTCAGGTTTACTGAAGTTTTATATCATATCTCAATATCAGACAGTGTGAGTCCTCAAAATTGGTTCTTCTTTAAAGAATTATCTACTCTTGTTTCTTTACATTTATACATATATTTTAGAATTCCTTTTTCTGTATCTCTGGAGAATTTGATGGTATTTTGTCTGTGATTGCATGGATCAATTTGGGAAAAAGTGATAATCTTAACTATATAGAGCCTTCCCATCCATGGGTAGGACTTGAATTGATGTTTTATGTATACAGAGTCCTTTAATTCACAGGGTTTGTCTTCTATTTATTTGGGTTTTCTTTGATGTTTTTCTTCAGAATTTTAGGTTATTTTGAATTTTAGTATATAGATTGTGCATATATTTTCTTGGATTTGTATCTAAGGATATATTCTCCGAGTATTTCATGGACAGCGTATTGAAAATCATAGTTACAACAAGTTATTGAGCTCCAGTTGTTCATCCCTAGTGAATAGAAATGCAATTTATATTTGTATGTTGACCTTGTGAGACAATGCAAGAAGATTTAGAGGAGAAATGATTGGGTTGTGAGGGCCTTGACCCAACAGTGAATTAATTCCCTGACAGGATTAGTTGAGTGGTAACTAAAGGCAGGTAGGGTGTGGCTGGGAGAGGTAGGTAATCAGGGGCCTGCCTTTGGGATATATATTTGTGTCAGGCAAGTGGAATCACTCTTTCTGCTCTCTGATCTTCATGTGAGTTTCTTCCCTCCACTGTTTTCCACCATGATGTTGTGCCTCACCTTGAGCCCTGAGGAGTGGAGCCGGACTTCTATTGATTGAGACCTCTGAAACCATGAGCCTCAAAATAAACTTTTCCTCCCCTAAAATTGTTCTAATTAGGTCTTTTAGTCACAGCAGCAAAATAACAACAACAACAACAACAAACCCTCAAAAAACAACCTGGTGCTGGGGATTAAACCCAGTACCTTGCACATGCTAGGCAAATGTTCTACCACTATATCCCCAGCTCAGCTATAGTTTTTTTTTTATAAGAGCCCTCGGCTCCATGGAGACGGTGGAGCTAAGGGCTCTTATTAAAAAATCTTAAGGTATTTATACTTAGTCATATGAGTATATATATTACATATTATATTACATATATATGCTATACTCATATATCCTGTATACTCATATATATACTGTATATACACCCACACTTATAAAATGACCAAATGCATTAGAAAATTATTTCTTTAGAAGCCAAATTTGGAAATTATTATTTTTTTAGGAAATAAAACTGTCTATTCATAGAAGATGCAAATCTTGTACACAGAAAATTTAAGGAATTCAGTGAAAAACCTACTAGAATAAGCAAGGTTAACAAGTTCACAGGATATAAGAGCAAAATTATTAGAATTACTTAAACCAAATCTTTGTAATAAAAAATTCCATCAATTTTTAATCTGTTCTTTAAGCTTTGTTTTCCAAGATTTATAATTACATAGTTTTTAGTATAATGAGAGCAGTGTATTCTCATATCCAATTTGTAACCTTAAATTTTATCCTCGTTGATCTGAGAAATGCAGCTATAGAACTTTATTAGACTGTCTGACAAACATAACAGCAAATATCAGAATTGTATTGTTTGGCCAGCAGGCACCACTCTCCCAATTCAGTGAGAAAAGTTACTGTGGAACAAACTAGGACATCTTCCTCTGAATCTGCTCTGGACTTTAAGCTCGGACTTTAGTGGACTCAGCAAGAAAATAGAAAGTCTCTGATGTATAGATCACACTAGAGACAGGTTGTGGAAATAGGGGGATGATTCCTCCAAATATAGATCGCAAAGAGGTGGCTCCATGTGATTTAACAAGTCCTGGGTTTGTTAACTGTGTCCTGTGGCCTGTTCTTGTAAGTGGACAGGAGAGCATGTGTACTAAGCTCTCTAGGAAAAATATATACACACATATATATAAACAGAATTAAATTAGTGCAACAATGGAAACTACCTTTTTCAAGTGTCCATTGCTTCACAGTCTCCATTTCTTTGGAGCTATCTTTTAAACAAAAGCAAGGGAATTTTCAGGTAGATTTGAGAGTTTAGGTCAGGTTATAAGGATTACAAATTTTCTACTGATATAAGTGAATAAGATTATCTTTGTCTTTCTAGAAGATTGAACTTTCTATAACAATTTGTGTAAGAAAATAAAAATTTGATTTAAAAAAAAAAGAGCCCTCTACGATGGAGAAATTTATTTTATATTTGTAGTTTGCTGAGAGATTTTTAAAATCATTAATGGATGTTGAATTTTTTAAAAAGCCTTCTATTTCTCAGTCTGATTTTTTGAATGTTAAACTAGGCTTTTATTTTGGGGATAAATATCAAATTGGTTGTGATGTGTTGGTCTTTCTACATATTGCATTGGATTAGCTAATATTTTATTGAGGATTTTTGTGTTTATATTCTTAAGGGATAGATACATTGTAGTTTTCTTGCTAAAATGAGTTAAGATTTTTTTTTCTATTTTTGGAATATATTATATAGGATTGTTATTAATTCCTTTTCTTTTCTCTTCTTTTCTTGTTTTTAAATCAGTGCTGAGAATTAAACCCAAAAACTCATCATGCATGCCAGGCAGGCACTGTACCCCTGAGGGATGTGTCTCCAGCCCCTTAATAATTCTCTTATAAATTTTTGCTTGAATTCACCAGTGAAACCATCTGGACCTAAGTTTTCTTTTTTGGGAGGTGTTTAACTGCAGATGCAAATCTTTTAAGAGATATAAATTTATTCAGGTTTTTAGGAAAAGCAGAACACAAAAATCAAAACAAAACAAAACCAAAGTCACCCAAAACCAAAACAACCAGAGAAATTCATCAATGTGTTGTTCTTCAAATGCTGTACTTTCTATCTGCTTTATCCACTTTCTACCTGCTTTATCTATCTTTCAAATTTTCTGGTATTTACTTCTTGTTTGATTTTCATAATTGGTAGGTGTAATGAGCAGGAAAGATTGGATGAAGTGTGTCTATTCTATCTTAACTAAGATGAGAGCCTCTTTTTAATTTTTAACTTTTAATGCTGTATCCAACATTCTCCTAGACACTGAATAGTTTTTGAGGGTAAGATTTTGGAGAGTAATGTTATTCCACATGTCAGCATATCCATAGGTTCAAGATCCAGAACATAATATTTGATATATATATATATATATATATATATATATATATATATATGGTATAAATTCAGTGACACACTCCTATTCTACTTTTAATTATTTTTTTTTATTATTTCTACTTAAGTGCAGAATCATTATTGTTTTAAAGTTTGTGTAACTTTCCTGTCCCTGACATAAGTTAATGTTTATGTTTATATGCTCAGTGTCTTCATGATAGCTAAATCCACTTTAACTTTTCCTTTGGATTCTGCTTTATTTGCAGTGCTGAAACTTCTTTGTTGGAAAAATGTCTTCAAACTCAGAAAATAACAGACTAATTCAAGCTTCTGAAATGTTCTTCCTTCATGTACAAGATCTTGTTTCCCTCACAAACACATTTACTGAGTTTCTTAACCACAATATGAATACTCAGATCTCCTTGATGGTTGTGAAAGAAGATAGTACAATTAAGAATTTCTTTGAAGAAATGCTTAAAAGTTTTAAGGAGATGCAATCTGTAGTAGAAGAAAAATACAACAAAATGCAAAAGGAACCTATGTATTCGAAGGTTGCAACAACTATGTGTTCTATGGCAGAGAAATGTATCAACCTGGAGTTGGAACGTTCAGCTAAAGAACTGTTTAAAAATATCCAGACACCAACCATTGTCTCTGTGCTGAGCCATAGTAACATCCTTGAGAATTTGGAATCTTTTTTTTCACACTTGATGGCATTCCCCATCATGAGTCTTCAATTAAGTGATTTCTGTAAAGGAGACACCAAAGGGAAATCAGATGCTCCCACATCTGAGAAAAACCTGAGTCCAGATCGTTGCAAATCCATCTCAACAGATGCCCTGAAGAAGTTGCAGGATGCACTAAAAACTGAGAATGCCAGCAATCCCATGGAGTCAGCAGCCGATCAGCTGGAACAAATCATCAAGGCTATGGAACCAACCATACAGGTTCTCCAAAAATCCATAAAGACCCTGGAGACTGATATTTCTATGCTTAAGAAAGTGAATGACAAGTAGGGGTGCAATAAAAGTTGCATTCATTTCCATCAGAAAAATAAATTCAGATTCCATGATTTTTTATAGTACTTTCTAAGACCCTTTGATACCAGACATATGAAGGTCATTAGACCATAAGTGCAGAAAGTAGTCATCTGTAGTTTTGCTTCATGAAAATGAAAATGGATAGTCGAAGAAAGCCTACTTGAAATGGCATTCACTAAGGAGTATGTGTTATTGAAAAAACATAGAAACATAGTTGAGGATATTTCATCTTGAAGCATAATTAAAACAACAAAACTAATTTCCACATTTGGCAAGTCTATTTCCAGTTACTGTACTATGAAGTTCAGGTAAACGTAAATATTGTCATTAGTTCAGGCCTGGGGGGAACATAATTTGCCTCCATTTTTGTTACTCATGCCAACTTTCAGTGTTTTGACTATTCTAAGTTACTAAATAAATATGATTTATTCAGAACTAAATAAGAACAATGATAATTCTTATATGAATAAGATCAGAGCAGATAATTTGTTCTCATCTGTCTCCTACTGAGGTTTTAGGATTAGGAGATACTAGAAGTTGAAAATGGAGGTACTCTAACCTTTCACAAAGAAAAGACCATTACACTTGTAGGAGCAGGATTTCTGAGATGTGCTTGTTTAGAACAGGAGTTAGGAAAGTCTATTTGCCAATAATGAAGTCTTTGACTCTCATGCATTGTGAATGTATACTCTCAAGATCGCCCTTGGAGCTATTATTTCACATGATATATAATAGAAACTTTGCTTAGAACAAGTGGTAATGAAAACTCCAAATCAAGGCCACTATTGTAATTACCACTTACAATTTAAATTAAGAATCCCTCTGCCATCTGCAAATAAACAGGACTTCATAATATTTTTCAGAAGTGGATGTTAACCATTTCAGAGCAATAGAGGCTCTGGAAAAAGGATAAAATTTCAATACTCAGCATTTTCACTGAGTAGCAATGCTAAAAGCTTATTCATTTGCAATTGCTATCTACTAATGATTGTTTCATTTTGAGGAGAATCTTGAACTCATTCATTACCCCACCTTCAAAAACAAAAGCAGCAGCAGCAGCAACATCACACTTTATATAAATAGGAGGTGGAGGTGGGTCTCTTACTTTGCTACTTGTTCTGTACTATATGTGTCCAGGATTTCACCTTCCTTCCTTTTGGTTTTAGGATTGTGCCTCCCAAAATGTTACAAGAGTAGAGGGGAACCATGTGGAAATGAATGGGACAAAGACTAAAAAAGTCCTGGGGCAGAGCCTTTTAGCTGAATGACTGGTGATAACTCAAGGGAAGTCCTTAGATGCCAACTGGAATGGCAGCCACTAGATAATAGAGGTGTGCTGCAGTCTGGCTAGGCACAATTCATGAGCCACTTATCAAGCAGAAACGAACTTTATTTTTAGAACACACTCAGCACCACAGGAGCTCTTCAGGAATTCCCTCAGGGCCCAACTGCCACCACCGGCTTCCCACAAGCCTCTCAACCCCCCCACTCCTCCTGCTCTTCAGGCCAATTGGCTGGGTCGCATGGGCGGAGCCAAAAGAGTCCCCCAATGAGCAGCTCCGTGGTCTGAAAGGGCGGGGAAACAGCCCAATGAGCATCACTGCAGAGGAGCCAATCAGCTGGCAGCTGGAAATTTGCTGGGGCCCCTTTGGCTGTGTGGCTCTCAACATCGGTGGGTGGTGCTCACTTTAATAAACATGGGTGGTTTTTAGGTACTGGTGGCTCCTGTGAGGCTGGCAGTCACTCACAGTGCTTCTCAGACACTTCCCCACTGCTGGGCCCTACCATCATCCTGCCCACTCTGCTGGCTTCCTGTCTGTGTCTGCTTCCGAGCTTGTGGGGTTGTTGGGGGGAAGTTGTACTGTTCTCAAACTGAATGCTGTCATGTAACATTTCTCTCAAATACTTTGGTTTTGGGTTCCTCTAACTTTTCTAAAGTCCATAGGGTTTTGAAGAATAAAGTGAAGACTCACTAGTTTCAGTGTTATGCCTGGCCCTAATTCTTTCTCTGGCCTAACCAAATGAAGTGTAAGTGGAGAGGAAAGGATGAAATGCACCAAAAGAAAACAAAACAAAGCCCATGACCATTTCCTATAAAATAAGGGAAAATAGAAAAAACAAGTCCTGTAATAACCTGTGACAATTTTTTCCCACTTCATAGTTGCCACTTCAGGAGTCACTGATTTAAGAGAATGATCTTACTTAGAAAACTGTGATTTCTCATGGAGATAAATGCTTTAGGGTAACTTTAATCTGTTCAAATTATTAAGCCATCAAATGGAGTAGCCTACTGATGAGGTTCCAGCCCTCATAATCCAAATCCAATTGTCTCACCTCTGAATGTCCTGGCTTGTCCCACACATGAACTTCCAGGGGACACCTCATATTCAAACCATAACAGTGCTAGCCCTCACTTTACTCCATTTGACCCAACACTAGGGTCTTTGGAGCTCAGGTGAAACAATCACCCATGTCCCCATCTAAACTGATTACTACCTGAGGGAAGGTTTGGTGAACATTTCCAGCTTTAGACTTTGCATCTTGTAGTTCGTACATAATGAAACATATATCTTTGGTACTTGCATGAGAATCGATTTCTTCTCTCATATTCTCTCTTTTACCTCCACACATATCCTCATGTTTTCCTAATAAATGTGCTTTTATGTGAAGTCTTAAATTAACATGAATTTAACTTTTAACTTTTTTTTTTTTTTTTTGGTAAGTACTTTAGGAGCTTGTATCTACCACCCTGTTAACTGGCAATGAATGACATTTCACTAACATATTTCATTACCTTTCTCTTTTATTGCTCAGGATTCTGTGTTTCTTCCCATATGAGACCAAAATAGTTTGATCTTGAATTCTGATGAAAATCTCTGAAGAAAATTCACACTTTGGTTAGGTCTCTGGGGCTCAAAGCTTTTCCATTTGATGATGAGTTTGTTCTTTGCTTCATAACTCAGTCTTCTTTGAGTTGTTCCTATTTAGGATCATTAAATTTTAAAAAAGTGCAGGGAACCTGTATTCATCAGAATTCTTTCAATGGTTTGAGATAGACTACGTAATTCAAATTATGTAAGCAAAATATAACTAATGGATTTAATGTGAAGAAAAAACTTTCGGTACTCAGCTTCAGACCCAGATGAATCTAGAGGGTCATACATTCTAATTTGGTCTCACTTTCTTTTCATTTCTCAGCTCTTCCTTAATTGTGTTAGCTGCTTTCTCAGGGAGTTGGGGGTCCCCTCTTTGGTGGTAAGATAACTTCTAGCATCTTTAAGCTCATACTTACTCCATTCAAAATAGAGGTCCCTCTCCTACTCCCAAAACAAGTGTCTAAAAAGTACCCTGATATACCTCATAAGCTATCCCTGGGCTATTTTCTAGTCCAACATAAACTTCTGTTTTCATGAAGAAATATGCTGAAATGGCTAAGATCTGAGTGATAGGCCAACTGATAGGCAGTGATCCGAAACAGCTGTGTATCAAATGAAAGGTGGGCAGAGTGATTCCCCAGGGGTATGCAGGGTGCTCTGAATGGGAAAGGCAAATGGGTATGGGGAAGGCAAAACAGAACTAGCCAAGAGAAGACCATGCTCTGGTTTCAGCGGAAGCATCACAGAATCATCCTTTCCAGTAAACAACTTCCCATTATTAGCAAAAACCAACACAAGTTTTCATTTACATATGTACATTTAAAAAAGAGCCTCAGGATTCCCTTGCACTCTGCTTTTGGAAGAGATGATAACACTGGCCAAAAAGGAGAGAGAAGCAATAACTATAGGAGCAGGGATGCACTTCTTGCTGGAATCTGTAAAAAAACAAACAAACAAACAAAATGGAAATTAGAGATGGGTTAGGTAGCAGGATTTTTTTTTCTAAAATCAACAGCAACAAACTAGTTCATATTTCCTTTGATTCATTATTTTTTTGAATCATTAACATAAAAATTTCTAATAAAAATGTTTGAAGTGAGCTAATTTTTCAAAAAGTATTCTCTCAGATTTTTCTAACTCAGAGAATTCAACCTATTTATTTTGCAGATGGTAAAACAGGTGTCAAGAGGTAAAGAGGTTGACTTCAGGTTACCCAGCCAGTTGGGGATAGAAAGTCTGATTTAAGAGATCGTCCATTGACTTTCCTGGAGCTTAGATTCTCAGTCCTCATTGTATCTGACTGTAAGCCACACTGATCATAGTTAACCACTCCCTCCTCCTCAATTCTTACTCTTCACTTTGTTCCTGAGACAATAATTCTATTGATTTTCTCCTTTCTCACTGGCTGCTATTCCTCGTAGGTTTCTTTGCTTATTTCTTCTCATTTTGAACTTTTAATTTGTAGTGTGCTGAGGTTCAGTCCTTGGATATCTTCTCTCCTTTATTTGTACACATCCATGGAGAGAGCTTATCCAGTCTATTGGCTTTAAATTGTGATTTAAATTTGTGTTAAGTCTTTTTTTTTGGGGGGGGGGGGTTGGTATCGCAGATTGAACTCAGGGGCACTTGACCACTGAGCCATATCCCCAGCCCTGTCTTGTATTTTATTTAGAGACAGGGTCTCACTAAGTCGCTTAGCACCTCACTTTTGCTGAGGCTGGCTTTGAACTCAAGAGCCAACTGGGATTATAGACATGAGCCACCATGCCGGGCTTGTGTGAGGTTTTAACAGCTGCTGTCAAGGCCCCAGGTTATCCCTCTGTCTTTACTCTCGGTTATTTGCTCTGCTCTCGTTCACTTCCATATAATGGCTTTCTTGTCATTGCTCCTGACTTAGGGCCTGTTTTAATCAACTTTTTTGCTGCTGTGACCAAAGGACCTGGCAAGAACAAGTAGTGGAGAAAAAGTTTATTTGGGGGCTCATGGTTTCAGAAGTTTCAGTTTATAGAAGGCTCACTCCATTCCACAGGGATTGAGTGAGGCAGAACATCATGGCAGAAGACTGTGGTGGAGGAAAGCAGCTGAGAGCATGGCATTCAGGAAGTAGAGAGAGAGCCTAAGCTCAGCTCACCAAATATATATCCCAAAGGTATGCTCCCAGTGCCCACCTCCTCCAGCTGCATCATAATAGCCTCAGTTACCACTCAGTTGATCCCTGTCAGCGGATTACTTCCTTGACTGGGTTAAGGCTCTCACAACCCAATCATTTCTCTTATAAAATTTCTTACATTGTCTCACACATGAGCTTTTGGGGGGCACCTAATATCTAAGCTATAACAGGACCTTTGCACCTCCTGTTTCCTCTCCTGAAATGTTGCTTTCCTGAGATATTCATATGACTAGGTCTCTCATTTCAATCTTTGGGTGTCACCTTCTCTGTGAAGCTTTTGCAAATGACTCAGTTGAATATTGTGACTCTCTCCCACAGCAAGGGAATTGCCTGCTCCCTTGCTGTGCTTTGTTTCTCTCTGTACCACAGACCACTTACTAATATAATACATATTTACTTATTTTGTTTATTGTCTGGATAATCACACTAGAATGTAAATTCCCTAAGGGCAGGAATTTTTGCCTATTTTGTTCCCTAGACCTAGAATAGTGCCTAGCGCATAGTAAGTGCTTAATAAATACTGATTGAATGAATGAATGAATTATAACTGCTCTTATGATGTTCAAATAAGACACAAACATACAGATATTACTCTTTAATTATATTCATCCTTCAAAAACCAACTTTTTGTTTTTGTTTTTGTGGTGCTAGGGATTAAACACAGGGCTTTGTGCATGTCTCACATGAGACTGAGCTATATTTTCAGCCCCCCAAAAACAACTTTTAATCCTGCTGGATAAGTGTTCCCCAAAGGCTCACATGTTAAAGGCCTGGTCACCATCCTGTGGAGTACTGGGAGGTGGTGAGACCTTTAGTAAGTGGGGCCTAGTGAGGAAATTAGGTCATGGGTGGTGTGATTTTGAAGGGGATTTTGGGACTCCAGCACCTTCCTTCTTCTTTCTTTTACTTCTTGAGGACCATGAGGTGAATGGTTTTACTCTACCACATCCCACCTACCACATCATGCTGACTTGTCACAGGTTCAAAACCACTAACCATAGATTGAAACCTCTGAAACTGTCAGCCAGAATAAACCTCTCTTCCTTACACATTGTTTTTCACTGACATTTTGTTACAATAATGGAAAACCGACTATTATAACCGACTATTATAATTATATAATAATTAGGATATTAAATTATCTTTTTAAAAATATTTCTCTCAGGTTAAAGTTAAGTTTTCCTTCCTAACTCTCTTGATACTTTTCTCTACCTCTATTATGGCTATTTTATCTCACATTATTTTTTACATGAATACTATATTTGAAAGAATACATGTAAAATATCTGATTAAATAAATTACAATCTAAAAATATTTTATTTGAGGATAGTGCACATTATTTTTACTTTTGTATTTATCTTTCATTTTTTACTAGACTACTAGTCAAAGCTTTTTTGCCCTCATTACCCTGTTACGATATTTTTCAAATTGGCAGTTGTGATCCATGAATAAATTATGATATCATTTTAGGAGGTCACAATGATTAATGTTAATAGTGTAATAAAATAGGTTAGAATAGAAAGCACTAGCATTACACTGCATACAAAAAGGATAACTGTTGTCATATAAAAATGTATATTTTTACATTTATGTGTGTGTGTGAACTGAGTTATCACGTAAACAGTCAAAGTCCATAGACTTGATACTAACAGTTTCTCAATAAAATTTAAGAAAGATTTTAGAAGGACAAATGAATCTCTTGAAACAAATCTATAGAGAAAATTGTCTTGGAATTATTGTGAGAAAACATGGAAAAGGGTCTTATATTTGCCATTTGTAAATTACATGGATAATTTTACACAAGCCACTTGAACCTTTCTGAACCTCAGTATTCACATCTGGAGAGTGGGGTTAATAGCTCAACTTACAGGTGGTTGTGAGAATTAAACAGATATTATGTGTGAAAGTGTTTTGTAAGCTAAATTGCTGTGAAAGTATCATTTTATTGGTGTATGATAATCTAATTTCGGTCACTTCTACCTTGGGGTATAGAATCTGAGGAAAATGCATGGTAATCATAACTTTGATTTTATGAACTCTGAATCTGAATTATGTCAGATGCTTCAGAAGTAAATATTTGAACTCTAAAAGTGTAAAAAGGTAAAATCGACATGTAGTGTATTGAATTAATCTGGTGTTTGAGGTACATGTTATCTATTGCCTTTCTATGTCAAAATGCAGAGTAATGAGTGCAAATCTTTCAGAATACCATCTAGCAAAAAGTGGATGCTCAAAAAGTAGTAAACTTTATTCCTTCTGTCTCTTTTATTTCTATTCTCAACTGCCAATCTCCCTGAAGCAGACATTGGTGCTTTGAGCCATTATCCCACTTCTATATGCAAAATACTTTCTGCAGTTTCTCAGTTGTGTTTGAGAGGATGGGCGGGCACCAAGTGCAGTCACAATGTTCCCACAAAGCAAGCACAGCTTCTAGTTTATAAATGAAGAAACCGGCTCAGGGGTCAAGTCATTTACATAATACCACAAAGCTACTAACATATACCCAGATCTTTCTGGCTCCTATCTATCTACTTTTTATAATGCCATGTGGTCTCCAGATTCATTCACTGCTTGTTTTTGCATCCATTCATCTGAGACAGTCTACTTCAAGGTCAGTGTGATGTCACAAACAGGGAAAGAAAGATAACTGAAGCCCAGAGTAGAAGAAGACACTAAAACAATAGTACGTTAACCAAATAAATAATAAAAAAACTAACAGTAGCTAAAATATTGACCATCAGATGCTATTCTTAGAACTTTTACATATATTAATTTGTTTTCTCCTCATTTTATAGGTCGATTTCAAAAATTCTTATTTTACATGTAAAAAACCAGAGGAATAGAGAGATGAAGCCACTTGCCCATGTTATCATTGCTAGTAACTGGCAACATTTACATGTAAAACTAGGGTACTACAAACAATTGGCTATATTTGTTTCAAAACATGTTAAGAATTTTGATTATGTGAACCATTTTAACAAATAAATCCCTCCTTTGTGAATCCAATGATACAGAACAGAGCATGTATTTATATGTCTACGGATTTTTGGCACAGATTATGTTGCTGAAAGAAGCAGTATTTAAGGGCAAATAACTAATTAACATTCTGTTAACATATTTTGAGTCTCCCCATAAGCACTAAACCATGTTTCTATGGTAACCGGTATAGGTCCTTTGAAGGGTGATGAAAGAATTACAGGGCAAAGCTGTTAGTTTAGAATGACTAAAACAATTTTTCTTTGGCACATTTGCTCCCTTGAATGTATTATGCCATCAGTTTGACCTCATGACTCTCTGAAGATAGCAGATTCCTGGGAACTCTTCGAACTTGAATTGCAAGTGCACAAGACCAAGTCTGACATAAACTCAAGGACAGGGAAGCTATGCTCTTTAGCATACTTCTCTATCCATTGGGGGAGTTGCATACAGTATCCTGGCTGGTTAATTTTGAACATCTTCATGCTGGCTTTCAAGTATTATGTCTTTCTAATTAAGGGGAACAAGAGAGGAAACATAATTCACTGGCTTATTAGGGCTTTGGGGGACGTGTTTTAGTCAGCCTTCTATCACTGTGACCAAAATACCTGACAAGAACAACATAGAGAAGGAGAAGTTTATTTTGACTCATGGTTTCAGAGGTTCAGTTCATGGTTGGCTGACTCCACAGCTCTAGGCCCAAGATGCAACAGAACATCGTGGTGGAAGGGTGTGGTAGAGGAAAGTAGCTCAGAACAGTAGCAACAAGGAAGGAGAGAGAGAGAGAGAGAGAGAGAGAGAGAGAGAGAGAGAGAGAGAGAGAGAGTGTGTTAAACTCCAAACTCGCACTGTCTTATCTCCTTCAGCCATGCCTTACAGGTTTATGTTACCACCCAGTTAATCCATATCATTGGATTAATCCACAGATTAGGTTAAGGCTCTCATAACCCAATCATTTCACTTCAACATTCTTACATTGTCTCATATTTGAGCTTGGGGCGGGGGGACACCTCATATCTAAACCAAAACAGAACATACAATAGTTTATGGATTTTGCTGGTGAAAACAAAACAGAATGACCAAAACATAAACCTGAAAGAATGAGAAACAGCCTCCTGAGAGAATTCTTCTGAGGAATTAGATTCCAGTGCTTCCGAACAGCACCTGTGAATTCTGAAGGCTGGAGTTAGTGGGAGAAGTGAAGGGGTCAATAGCAGCAATCTAGACCATCAGGTCCAGGTGGAGTCCACTGACTTTACTCTCTCCCAGAGAAGGACCCTCAGATAAGGAAGAAACATCACCTCCCTCCTGCTGGGTTCATATATGGATCAATCAATACTGCTCCAGGAAGGTGGGGTAAGTAGAATATTATCAAATAACAGAAATGACTTAAGGACCATTTCAGATGGTCCTGAGATTACTGATTGAGAAAAAACACAGCAGGGACAACTGAAAATCTTTTTTTTTTAAATCCATACAGATAAGTGGATATTATTGTGATTAATTAAAAACTATACAGTCTTTTTGTCCTCAAGTAAAGTGATTATGCTAAAAACCAGCCAATGGCAAATGAGGCTTGGGTAGGTAAGATGGAAAAAGTGGATGGGCCAGATTTTTCTACAACCTTCTGTCCGAGTCAAGGTTCAAAGAAGTCAAGTCCTCACTGTCATGGGGGCTTTTTCCTCTCCCTCTTTCATTCTATCCTAGAGCATTACAGCTGTGGTGGCTGGGAAGACATGGCAGTCTCAGCTCTTTACTGATTATGTGATGCCTCTGTTCTGTCTTTTCCCTCCCCAGTTTATATGCTTGTAGTAATTTTTTTCTTTTTCTTGGTACAGGGATTGAAGCCAGAGCCATTCTACCACTGAGCTACACCCCAAGCCCTTCCTTCCTCCCTCCCTCCCTTCCTTCCTTCCTTCCTTCCTTCCTTCCTTCCTTCCTCAAGGTCTTGCTAAATTGTCCAGGCTGGCCTTGAACTTAAGCTCCTACTGTCTCAATCTCCTGAGTAACTGGGATTCTAGCCATGAGCCACATGCCCTGGTGCCAGGGATACTTTTATTCAGCCATTTACAAGTTCTCTTCCCAAGATTGTACAAGTTTCTAACTAATGAATTTCTAGGAAAATTTATTTATGGTTGCTTACTTTCTAAATGATCACATTACAGATCATTCACACTGACTAAAGTTCCCCACTCTCTGGTATTTTTCTTCTTTATGTCTTCAAATATTGAAATTGTTTTTAATCAATTGAGTTATATGGCCATTTCACACAAGACCCAGTTTGCTCAGAGACATGAAAGAGAATGCTTCATTCATTCATCATTACTCATTCATTTATTCAATAAAAATAGGTTGATAACCTCTCTGTGCTGGAGGACTAAAGTTAATAGCTAACACTAATTTAGTATTCATTATGTACTAGGAAATGCATTTTAAATAGTTTAGCATTTTATTTTATTTTGTTTTCACAAAAGTTCTGTGATAATGCTCATTATGTAGATGAAAATAACTTAAAGTTTAAGCACCTTGAGAAAAATACAGAGTTAATAAGTGGTATAGGTGAGTATGCATTCAGACATGGTGGATTTGGGGTCAAACTGCCTGGATTCCATGCCTAGCTCTTAAATATCTATGTAGTTAACATCCTGCCCACACAGAGTTTGTGGAATAATATAAGATTTCTGATTCCCTAAGTGTGAGTTTTTTGATTTCAAGTATCTACTCAAGAAATAATCTAGTAATATATATGGCTACCCCAGCTAAGCCTGGGTAGTTTCACCACAGAAAAACAAAGACCATTATTTTTGGGGTGGGTGTTGAGGTAGTGGTTCTGAAATATTTTTCTTTGAGATGTATACAATGGTAGTACATGAGTTATAATTTCTGTTATATACCCCTCTCCCTCAGTTTCGCACTTCTCACATCAATATTCTATGATTTTTTTTTCAAATGAATATATTGCTGTGCTCATTATCCTAGTAGAAAAATTATATGTACCAAATTCACAATAAGAAAAAATGTAGTGGTTTTCTACATGGGTACAGTTCCAAAGAATCATCAAAACTGACTATGAATGTTCTCATTTATTATCAAGGTCTCACTGTTTTCTTCATATTCTCCTGTAGGTTTTCATCCTCTGCAAGCACTAGTCTCTTGGGTTTGTGGGGTAGATACTTATTTCATTGGTATTGCTGATGCTGCCAAGGAGAGAAGAGAGGAGATAAAAGTATTGGCAGTTTGCCTCTCCCTGGTCTGTGTTTATAGATAGAGATAAGCCAGAGTGAGCAGGCTCTAGACCTTGGTGTGGATGCCTTTCTAAAGGCTTTGCAACACTATGGCCTTAAGTTGTTGAGAAATTCTGAGCTGAAATTATAAACAGTAACAATAATGATGGAGTTGAGAGAGATTTGAGAGAATATTTCAAAGGCAGATTCTGCAGTTGGGTTGCCATTAATTATGAGTGTGAATGAATTCAGCCACGTTTTTCTACAAGAGCTTAACTATTTTTTTTTTTTGTATTGTAATAGCTCTAATTTCTCTTGCTTTGGGTCATGTTTTATAACCTCATCACAGATCTTCCTGAAATATTGATCTATTGATGTTCCACTTCTTTAAGGCTTCTAGTGACTTCTTATTACCTAAAGCATGATGTTTTAAGAGTCTGTGGCATTGATTACAAGGCCCTGTACAATCAGGCCCAGTCAGAACTCTCCTGTCTAGTAAACTTCCTTTCCCTTTTTCCTGCCTGCCTCCTCTATCCTACACATCCTACACCCTAGCCACCCGGAATTTCAGAGAGTCCCTAAAGACACTGGGCTGTCTGAAATCCCTGGGATTTGGCATATGCTGTTCTCTACTTGAAATGATATTTCTTTTCTTTCATTGAAAACCACCATTTCCACTGTGAGTCCCATGTGGTCCTCTGTTGGGAAACCTTCCTCAGTTTTCCCAGAGACCTCCTGGTATGGAGCAGCCACAATCCTTTGCTCAACATCTTGTGCATCACGTAGTATTTCCAAGTGTATAATTTTGTTCATGTTTCATTTTCTCAAACTAAAAATCCTCTCAGGCTAATTATGTTGCTTTATCCATTGTCAGGGTCTCCACTCACAATAGAGAATGTCATATAGGGAGTATCAGTGAGTAAATTTTACTTCCTGCCCTAGCTTTAGAACATCTTATCCTTATAATGACCATGACAAAACCAAAACAAACAAACACAAAAACTTGAGAAGATAAAAATGCTATAATTTATATGCTAACTTTCCCAGTCAAGTTTTACTCTGTCTAGAATTTTCCACATATTTAAGTAATTTCCCCTTATGTGTGTGTGTGTGTGTGTGTGTGTGTGTGTTTTGCTTTGTGTGATTTTTTTCTCAGTCAACCATGGTCAGAAAATCTTATGTGGAAAATTCCAGAGATAAAAATTTTTAAGTTTTGAATTGTGTTCCCTTCTGAAGAGTGTGGTGAAATCTTGTACTATCTTACTCTAACCCTGATAGGATGTGAATCATCCCTCTGTCCAGCATTTCCACAGTAATTAGTGATTAATGGGTGACCACATCATTTACTTCACTTCATCTTATCACATAGGCACTGTATCATCTAGCATCATCACAAGAAGGGTGAGTACAGTTCAATAAGATATTTTGAAATATTTCTCTCAGAGAGAGAGAACAAGCATATGTGCACAAACTTTTATTATATATTATTATAATCTTCCTATTCTCTTATTAGTTATTGTTGTTAATCTCTTACTGTGCCTAATTTATAAGTTGAATTTTATCATAAGTATGTTGTATAGAGAAGAACATAGTAAAGAGGGTTTGGTACTATCTTTGGTTTTTAGGCATCCACTGGGGCTCTTGGAATATGTCCCTCATGGGATGAGGTACCTAATGTAGTGCTATTGCATCAATTCTTTTTTTTTTTTAGAGGTAGTTGAAGAGAAAAGAGGCGGGGGGTCAGGGTTGGAGGTACCAACTACAAAGCAGCCTTTCTCTAATCAGTCAGTTCCACCATTTCTGAAGACCAATTTCCATGTTTTGAGCTCCCCATCAAGCTTACTCAGAATAAAAAATAACTTTTATCTTAAAAAAGTGTTCTAGGATTCTAACAAGAGTGGGTTCAATTTCAATCAAGATTACCTTTAAGCAGCTGGCAGTTATATGTGCTCAGGTTTCCAGCAGACCGCAATTGCAACCAATTTCCTTTTGGATGGTAGCTGGTATTTACCACTTCAAAAAATTCATATGGAGGGATTAGGACTTCCTTCTTGAGGGAGAAGTCTTGTACAGGTACACCCATGCAGGTAAATATGGTAAACAGCGTTTGACTCCCAAACTTCTGTGTCTCTTCTTTCGGGAAGGGGATGGAAATGAATTGGCCAAATCGAATGGTGGCACCTATGTGGGCTTTGAAGTTGACCTCCTTCATGCTATGATGCACCACATAACACAAGGTACCATTCTTCACAAGGATCTCTTTCCTCAGCAGCTGGATTGCTGAGGTCAGGTAGTAGTGTAGGTATTTGAAATGGAATGAATGTCTATACTGCTGAGGAGACCTGGCAGCAGTGGCCATGGCATTAGAAAAGTCAGAGCGCATATTGTTATTCAATGTGTAAACCAGGAGAGCCACAGCATGTGTTGTTGTCATGTCCTTGGGGAGATCTTTTGCTTGGTTCAGCCAGGTTAAGTGGGCTTTGTGCCACACCTTGGAGTAATTCTTATGGGTATCTAGTTCCTTTCTGAAATAATCTCCTTGATTTAGCTCCTTCATGACCTGTTCGCTACAGCCTTGGTACTGATCATCAAAGGAATCTGGCGCCAAATCAAAGGCAATTTCAGCTGCAACCTATAAATGTAAAAAAACACCTTGATTTTAATTATTCAAATCAGATTTACTATACTTTGTAAAGCCAAATCTTCTCAAAACCAATATTTGCTGAAATAAATTTTATTCAATATCATTATAATGCATCCAGTGTAATGATCCCTACATCATTTCTATGCCAGTGACCTGTGCCAACAATTGAATTTGGTTTCATAAATATTATTGAAAGGTGAAAAAATTCACTGGGAGGAAATAACCCTTTTTGTAGAACTGAAACCATAGTGTTTTTGCATGCTGAATACTTGGAAGAAAAATTATTCAACCTTATCGTTTCATTATACTTTCTGTTTCCTCTCCTCTCCTCACCCCTTTGTATTCTTTAATGCATGTTATAAGGAACATCTCTTTTATGAATGCCTAAACCTATATTAAATCTTTGAATTTTATTGAATAAAAGTCTTAAGTGATGAGTGATGTTGATTTCTCTATGGGACAGTCCAGTAATAACAACCCTGTTATTACCCGGATTCTGAAAAAAAAATGAGGTAAAAATAATCAAGGCCAAATTATCTTTCTTTTTACTGAATAAGTCCATGTGGAAGCACACATCTGTAGGTGTGATGGCAAGTGGGCTTCTTCTGAAGAATAAATTCAAAAAGGATTCAGGCTTGTCCTCTCAGTTACAGGCAGTAGTGGACCGAGGCCTCCCAGGTAAGATTCTTGTCATGGAGGAGGACAGAACTCATGCCCTTTGCTATCAGACTAACTCATTCTCAATAGGAGGAAGGGGAGCAGAGCCCAACTGTGTGTTCCCAGTTATTCTTCCTAATGTTGACAGTGAAGTAGTTTGTCTCTCCTATTTCCCACTCCAGGAGTGGGAAAAGGCTTTCTTTTTTAATGGGTAGCCAATTGAACATTAAGCTTATTGACATCTAGTGTATGCGAACTGAAGTTAGAGATTTGAATGGAGGTTCATTAAATATCATTAGTTTATAATTTAGGGTCCTGTGTGAATTATCAAAATTTAAATAGATGCTTCTTTCTTTGCAAAGCCATGATGCTTTTCTAATAAATACTACTTATTGGAAGACTCTACCTGATGTCAAGGCTGTTGGGACTGGAACTCAAAAACATATCATTTGGTACCTTTACTATGTGATTTATGTTCTAGTTGTATAAACTAGAACACAATTTTCAGACTGGTTAAATGATTTTAACCGATAACTCTTTAGAGCAGATTTCCAAATAAATTTACAGAATCTATTTAAGCCAAGCCAAGCCAAGCCAAACCAATAGTATCATGTTCTGTCAGATCTGATAAATTTCAAAAGTAGATTTCAAATATATACTCTGTCATCTTTTAACATGAGGTTATTTTCAACATATAGATCTTCAAGTTAGAACACTTATAAATAAGTTGGTCTATAGGATACAGTTTAAACCCATAAAGATTTGGTTGGTTTTGCATTATTTGTCCTATGGAAGCAGTATTTTAATTATGGTGGAGAATTAAGAAGTAACTCCATGATACTAGCTTCCATAATGCCCAACTTATCAACAATAAGGAATTTTTAATTTTTAATAATTATTTTCAATAGTCTTCACTATCATCATTTGCTAAAATGTCTGTATGAAATTAGATCCCAAGTGCCCAAGGTTTGGGTCATTTAGAGTTTGCCTCTAGGTGAATATCCTATTGGAACACTGACCTTAGAAAGGTCACCTCCTCAATTGCTCCATACCTCAGCACTCCCGGTGTGTGTCTGCAGACCACAGAGCAGCAGCAGGAGTGGCAGCTGCACTCCTTGGAGCCAGATCCCCATCCCACGAGCCACAGGAGTCCGGAGAAAAATCCACTTGCATCTGTTGATCAGTAGATGTATGTAAATAGTACCCTTTTGCACTGGCAGCTTCATCCCCAAATGAGTTCTCAGAGTTCTCCTTTGGGGTTTTCTTTGAATAAGTCTCAACAGGAAACTTCTCTGCTCCTGTCTGTGTTAAGACTTCTGTTGATCAACAACAACTAACAGCTTTCCTGTGACGAGAAATCAATTCCAGCGTTTTTTTGCAAAGTTGAAATTTCTGTGAAACAGCCAGATGTATGTGCCAAATAAGGGTTTCCAGTGAACTCAAGTTAGTTTCATTAAAAAAAAAAAAAAATCCCTAATTTACTCTGTATTCAGGGGAATGCCAAAGACATGTTAAGGGTCAGGTTCTGCAGTTCTGCCTCAAATTTCCCAGAAGAGCAGGAAAAGGCATTCTTTGTACTGAGTGTGGGGCCAAATAGCATTATCTTGAGTCCCAGGCTCCCATTGTGAATAACAAGATAGGCATGTGCAGGGTGGCTGGGCCCAGCCATACAAGGTGGGCCTCTGTCAGGCTCATCTGCTGCTGCTGATAGACCCTGCCTGGGATGCCTTTTGGGTTATTGTCACAAAGAAGGCTCTTTTCACAGCTTTTCTTCGGTACACTGAAACACCCCAATCCAGAGATTGTAGATTTTTGGGTCCATAGCTTTTCCTGTTTTTTCTTCTAAAAACATCAGGTCTTCAATTAACTCTATTTCAATCTACAGTGAATCCTAATGATAGTCAGAAAACTGCCTGTGTCTAGCTGGCAAAAATCAAAGGTAGAATTCAGCATGTAAAGCTAATCTAGCTCAGACGTGCGGTCAACGCTTTCAGGCTTTGAATATCCTTCCTTCGTCTATTTCTAACTCCTCCAGACAGTGGTTTTTCTTGTGGATATTTGCCACTTATACTTCCCAATTCACTATCTGTTGAGAGGGCTAAATCCTGTTCTTGGAAATTCTGGTATTGATTTTTTTTTTTCCCAGCAACCTAAGTATTTTTTAGTATATTTTCTTATAATCATAACAGTTCTGTCTCATTAACAAAAGTTCAGAATGTTTAAAAAAGCATAAAAGAAAAAACAAAAATCATCTATAACCCCTCACATGGAGAAATTTAAATTTTGATTTTATACACACACACATACACACACACACACGCACGCACTCCTGAACTGAAATGGTACAGTATATAGTTTGGCCTACTGTTTTCTCTCTTACTATTTCAATGTAAACATGTTCCCACATAATTTCACACTTATTTATGATTGAACTACAGCATTCCAAAAGTGCTACCGTGCAATGTAACAGCACAGTGGACCTATGGACTGTAGTGTCTCTAAGCAAATCAGTTAGTGAGGAGAACATGGACTCCTGAGAAAGATACTTCTGTTCAACTCCTGACTCACCTGCTTCCTTAATATTCAACCTTGGACAAGCTACTTAATCTTTCAGTTCCTCAATTGCTTTTTGTGTTAGATGGTGACGATGATAGTATCTCCCTCACTGAAATGACATGTTTGTAACTTTCCAGTCAATATCTGGCATCTATAGATTTCTCAATAAATGAAATCAATTATCATTACTTCTTCCAGTTTATTTGATAAACATATCTGGCTAGTTTTCAACTTTGTGCTATTATAATCAACAACTTGTGAATATATTTTGAACAAAATCTTTGTGCGTTTTCTCACAATTTTTAAGACCCTGTTCTAGAGATGATGTTAGGGGACAGACAGATGTGAATGGTGGGAACCTGAGGATAAAGGAATAACTCTATAAAATGGGCCCACAGTGCAGATCCCCTACATGCTTTCTTTTCCAGGAAGAAATTTACCTGCAGCCCTGCCTGGCCTTAGTGGACAGGGTCACATTTCTCAGGAAACTACCTGTTAACTGCAGGAGAAATGCAGACCCAAGATAATGTCAGTGGGAGCAATCCAGGAGAGTTTTGTGACCAGATCCTGAAACTCTGGGCAATGAGGATAGTTCCTCCTAACCACAAAAACTGTAAAAAATAGTATTGTTAAGAATCCAATTGGAACTGGTCAGCATGAGCCAAGATGACTTAGAGTTGCCATGACAGTGGGGACTTGAAAGTCTGATATCACCCTGCTGAGAGCCAAAACTCAAGAGGTGGATCTGGGTGGGACTCTCTGGAAATTCTCTGGGATCTCCAATAAAACTGGAGAGCAGGAGAGGCATGTTGTGTCTCTCTTCTCTGAGAGGACCCACTTTCTCCCTTGAGAATGTTCTCTTTCCCTTCCCCCATCCCTTTAGTAAACTCATTCCTGTTATTCTGGGCAACATGTTGGAAATCTTTCTGACTTGATCACAAGAATCGGGGTTTGAAAAGGAGGTCTTCATGCTGCCTCAGTTTCTTGGAAGGCCCCAGCTCCGCAACAATGACCATTAATCAAAGGAATACATATTGTTTGGATTTGATGGTTCCCACTAGCAATGTATGAAAATCTCCTGTTTTAGTCAGTTTTCTCTAGAGGAACAGAACTAACAGGAGGTATGATTATAAAAAAGGGATTTATTAGATTGGCTTACACAACCAGAAGCTGGGTAGTCCACAATGGCTGTCTGCAGGCTGGAGAGCTGGAAGAACCAGTAGCTGCACAGTCCATGATGCTGAAGCCTCAGAATAACAGTCCAGGACCAAAGGCTTCTGGAAACTCCCTGGAGAATCACTAACAGAGTCCGCTTGTAAAGAATGAAGGAGAGTCTGATGACCTCAGGAGATCCCAGCAGCAATCAAGAACCCATTCAAGAAGAATGAGTTTGCATCTGCTGCTGCTTCCTTGTTCTTCCAAATTTTATTCCACCCAAGTCGCCAACCTCCAACCTCCAACAAGCTGCCCATGCTTAAGGAGGGCCTCCACTTCAGTTGGCTATCTCAGACGCCAATCATTCCTTGACACGCCCTCATTGACACACCCAGAAGCCTTTTAATCTTTGGCATCTCTCTCTTTTTTTTAAATATTTTTTTTTTAGTTGTCAGTGGACCTTTATTTTATTTATTTATATGTGCCATGCTGAGAATCAAATCCAGTGCCTCACACATGCTAGGCAAACACTCTACCACTGGGCTACAACCCCAGCCCTTTAGCATCTCTTAATTCAATCAAGTTGACAATTCAAATTAACCATTACACCTCTATTCGGGCTTTCAAAATTCTTCGTTATTAAATGTTACTTCAGGATATTGAGGTGTTATGGAGAGAACTTGAGTTATAGATTGAAAATTTGTATTATGAGTCTAGTTCTCCAAATGCTGGCTGAACTAATTTAAAATGAGTGATCTGTGCTGATCCTCGGTTTCCTTAACTTTATAGAGTTGAAAATATTATATAAAGCAATAATAGTTTTATTTCACTGAGAGTGTATGGTGCTTTACTATCTGTTGAGAGAGCTAAATCCTGTTTTTGAAAATTCTGGTATTGATTTTTTTTTCAGCAACCTAAGTATTTTTTAGTATATTTTCTGATAATCATAGCAGTTCTGTCTCATTAACAAAAGTTCAGAATGTTTAAAAAAGCATAAAAGAAAAAACAAAAATCATCTATAACCCCTCACATGGAGAAATTTAAATTTTGATTTTATACACACACACATACACACACACACACACGCACGCACTCCTGAACTGAAATGGTACAGTATATAGTTTGGCCTACTGTTTTCTCTCTTACTATTTCAATGTAAACATGTTTCCACATAATTTCACACTTATTTATGATTGAACTACAGCATTCCAAAAGTGCTACCGTGCAATGTAACAGCACAGTGGACCTATGGACTGTAGTGTCTCTAAGCAAATCAGTTAGTGAGGAGAACATGGACTCCTGAGAAAGATACTTCTGTTCAATTCCTGACTCTCCTGCTTTCTTAATATTCAACCTTGGACAAGCTACTTAATCTCTCAGGTCTTGCTAAGTTGCTTAGGGCTTTGCTAAATTGCTGAGGCTGTTTTTTTTTTTAATATTTTTAGTTGAAGATGGACACAATAATTTTATTTTATTTTTATGTGGTGCCGAGGCTCACATATGCTAGGTGAGGGCTCTACCACTGAGCCACAATGCAGCCTCCTCCGTTTGGCTTTGAACTCTCAATTCTCCTGCCACAGCCTCCTGAGATTTGGGATTACAAGCTGCTCCACCACCTCCTTTTTATTATTGTCTTAAAGATTTTAATTTCCCTAGTGTGACTATCACTTCCAGAATAAGACCACTAGAGGGCAGCAGAAACTTTTGTAACCTTTCATAACACTCCTTTGTCCAAAGGTTTTTTTTTTTCTTTTTTTTAAATTGGTTGTTCAAAACATTACATAGCTCTTGACATATCATATTTCATACATTAGATTCAAGTGGGTTATGAACTCCCATTTTTACCCCAAATACAGATTGCAGAATCACATCAGTTACACATAAAGGGAAAAAGAACTGGAGGAAGGCAGAGAGGAAGAGCCAACTGGGGTGGGAAAAGGTCCAATGTATGTTGTGTATGTATACATTTTTGGATGAATGGATAAAAAAAATGTGGCATTTATACACAATGGAGTATTACTCTGCATTAAAAAATGACAAAATCATAGAATTTACAGGGAAATGGATGGCATTAGAGCAGATTATGCTAAGTGAAGCTAGCCAATCCCTAAAAAACAAATGCCAAATGTCTTCTTTGATATAAGGAGAGTAACTAAGAACAGAGTAGAGTCGAAGAGCATGAGAAGAAGATTAACATTAAACAGGGATGAGAGGTGGGAGGGAAAGGGAGAGAGAAGGGAAAATGCATGGAAATGGAAGGAGACCCTCAGAGTTATACAAAAGTACATACAAGAGGAAGTGAGGGGAAGGGGAAAAATAATATAAGGGGGACAAACGAATGTCAGTAGAGGGAGCAGAGAGAGAAGAGGGGAGGGGAGGGGAGGGGAGGGGAGGGGAGGGGAGGGGGGATAGTAGAGGATAGGAAAGGCAGCAGAATATACAGACACTAGTATGGCAATATGTAAATCAATGGATGTGTAACTGATGTGATTCTGCAATCTGTATATGGGGTAAAAATGGGAGCTCATAACCCACTTGAATCAAATTGTGAAATATGATATATCAAGAACTATGTAATGTTTTGAACAGCCAACAATAAAAAATTTAAAAAAAAAAATAAAATAAAATAAAAGCAAATGTTTTCTGACAATATTTAGCATCATTAAAACCCATATTTTGCCTTCAAGCCTCTCATTAAGGTTCCTATGTGATAGTTTGGTATTAGTTAATTTACAGTTGAGGTACACTC